AATTAATTAAAAATCGATTTAATTTCAAATTTAAACGGGGTATATTAGTTGTTTTCCTTTCTCTCTTAGAAATAACAGTTTATAAATATGAGAGAGGAGATTTAAGTCTAATTTAAAAAGTGAGGAGATGTTTCAGTATATAGGTGAAATATCAGGATAGGTCTAAGTTTTTTTACTAGAGCATAAAGGATGCACATTAGCAACCCCCCACCCCCAATAGAAGCAATAATCCTCTACCTGGATCTTAAATAAAAAGAATATACCAACACCAACCGCGTAGAATATAACTTAACGAGATAGAAATCCCGAGACATTCTACTATATCTGAATCTGATTACTGACTATATTCTATTCTAAATCACTAAGAAAATTATTTAATACTCACTTCATGAGTTTTCAAAACCTTCAGGGAGTAATTGTCCAAAACATACCTTCCTTAAGCATTTAATTATTTTGCATGAACAAACTCTATCTGAATGGCCAATCAAGTTTATTAAATATTTTTTATGACAAAATTATCTTTAACATGGGTCCAGGCCCACACTAGACTCGTAAATTTTAGAGTTGGGCCTGAACCTGACTCAACCCACATATATTTAAAATATATGTACACAATTATTATATTCGAGTAATCACAGGTAGTTTTATCATAAAAAAATATTTAATAAGGTTGACTTGCCAATTTAGGGATTGTTTGGCCATGTAAAATACTTAAATGCCTAGGTGGATCACTTCTATTAATGCTCACTAACAATGATTTAACAGAAATTTAACAAAAGGTGAGTTTTGGACAATAAAATTCACTAATAAGGTCCAATATATGGGAAGGTTTACCGAAAAATATATAAATGGGAAAAATTTATGTCTTGCGTTCCACAGCTCGGGCTATATACAGGCTCTCGGCAATCGGCATGATCATTGATACGTTACTCCTAATACATTCTTTCAAAAACCAATCACAAAAGGTGGGATCTGCTCCTCACATAGGAAGCCTCACAACGACCTCACGCAGGCATATCTCATCATGCATTGAGAACATCTCTCACACACCGAACCTGAGCAGTGAGAACCACCAACGCTGTTTACATGTGGAATCACCGCCGTGGTAGATACCTCATACCTTGATCAGTCTCCGCTAGTCCTTCCCTCACATCTTTCTTGTGCCTCGCTCCCACCTCGTTTTCGGCAATGGTCCTCTGCCCCTGGCTGCAATAAACCAGCAACAGATCTTGTCAAAGGGGTGGAACTGGAAAGTGGAAACCATTATATGCTTCTGACACTACCCACAAGACACTAAAGCCAGCCTTGCATAGGCAACTTCTAGCCGTGAATGACAACATACTACAAGTACGGGAGAAATTCCCGATGTGTGGCTGCAGTGTGTCGTGGGTAAATGTATGTAGGTAGCCAGATCCGAACGCCAAGGGATGGAGTGATGTGATGAGATGAGATGAGAGGGATGGGGAGTACCTCCGATGTCTTTGTCGGAGTGATCGTCTTTGCCGGAGTTCTCGCCATTAGTTTGGATGGAGTGCAAGGGTCACGTTTTTTTGCTGCACAAAGATAATATATTACTGCAGATTATCAAAATAAATGTATCCAGAATGTCCCTTGAGTCTCTGACCAAGGAGAAATATCAAAGCCTCTATCAACAGACAAAAAATACCAAACCAGACTCAGTAGATAAAGCTTTAGCAAACTGTGCCATTCTATGAGCAGGGCTATTTACATAATATGAAGTCTAAAAGGCCCGACTACTGCAACAAGAGACCTAACTTTAGCTAACAGAGACCAGAGATTCGAAGCTCCTTGACTTTTAGTCTTCAAAGCCAAAATAACATACAGCATCCAGAAAGATGATAACATTTCTCCATTGTCTGCGTTTAGTCCAAGATAGTGCTTTGAAGATGGCCATCAGCTTCTTGTCTGGGCAGACTTTAGTAATCTTGACTTCCTTAAACTTGGAAGCATGGTCCTACTCCAAGTTCATTTCTACATTGTACAATAATATACAACTCAGAGAATGTGCTCATTTTACTACATATTCCTTATTGTCTAAGGGTAATTTGATTTTTCTAGGGACCTAGAAATGAAATTTATGCACCTTTTCACTGATACAATTGAAGCCTGAAGGGAGAGAGACAGAAAGATAGAGACAATCTAAACATGGTAAAATCTTGGGAATATATTGATAATTTCCCATGAATATCTAGGAAGGTTTGACTATCTTCAACAAAATATCTCTCAGCCTACAACATGAAATTGTTGTTGTTTTTGTTGTTGTTGATGATGGTGGTACCGTATGGCCTTTCATAGACCAAAATAGAGTAATTTTACTGATGCTTCCAATCCCACCTAAGTGGGATAAGACTGATGATAGTAATACCAAACACTAATTTTCAGTAAGAGAGGTTTCACACTCTATTCTCCTGGATAAATTTATATTAGGAAATCTGTTGCTGAGATGCATAGAAATGAGTTTTCAATGTATAAACTAAAGCTAAAAATGCTATAACTATTAATGCACAACTACTACCACCACTATAACATAAAACACAGCCTTAGAGCAGAATGAGGGAATAAGTAGGTGCTGCCAACCCACCTAAACGGGTTAGAACCTATGATACCCAGATACATGTACGAGGGTGCCATATCATGTTGGATACTTCAAATTTTAGGTAAATTTCATATCTATACTGTATCCAGGCATGTCCTTTCTGTATCTGGATAAAATAGGTTGGGACAGGTTAGGATGTGATTTTTTTTTGATAAATTACAGAAGATTTTCATTAATCAAGTCAAACTGATTACAAAGCAACCATCATTAAAACAAGTAAACTTTATATAACAGAAACAAATTCCCCACACCCCTACCAAGAAATCTTTTCTACGAAATTACAGCCCAGTCCAGGGCAACCCCATAGCAGAGAATCCCTCCCCACTCCATCTCTTGCTAAAGAATCTGCTAACATATTTGCGCTTCTAGGGATCCAATTGAATGAGGCATTCAGAGAGGACCCTAGTGAGATAACCATCCTTACCAAAGCCTTAAATTCCCAAGGCATTTGTTTCTGACCTTTCATCTAGCAAATAACACATGACAGTCTCCCTCCACTATTACATCTCTTAACCCCTGTTGTTGCAGAAATTTTAAACCTTGTATTTGAGCCATCAATGCTGCTCTCAAAGACTTCCCTTGTCCCACTGGGCCTGAAAAACTAAGCATAACATTTCTGACAACACTCTCTACACTCAATAGCCCCGGATTTCTAATACAACACCCATCAAAATTAAACTTGATTTTCCCACAATCTGGTGGACTCCATTGCATCCCTCTTACCTGTTTACTTCTTTGGAAACCCACCACTGTTTACCAGTCTCTAATCAATTATTAAAAGGTACATCTTTAAATTCTGTTGCCACTAAATCCCAATGCACCACTCTTATCTTTGTGGGTTTATCGCCTCCTCCACCTGTTTGTACTTCTCAAACAATGTTGCATTTCTCTTATGAGTCTGCTCTCAGAGACTGGTGGAGATGTGATGATTATCAGATTTTTAGGATTAGTATTAGCAATCACTAATTTACACAAATATTGGATTCATACATAAGCTGCTTTCCATAAACATAAGAAATATCTATTGGTGAGAAAGAAAAAAGAGATTTGGCGTCCACATTGCTAAATCTTGGACAATCACCCCATAAAGTCAATGCTGACCTACAAAGCTTCATCTTGGACAATTCAAGGTTGCATCCAAGTCCATATTCTCAGAAATATTGCAAGTCTAACTTCAACTCTTGATTAACAGCATTTGACTAATTCAAGGTTGCATATCTAAGGCACAAACTAGTGGAATTTCTCAGATTTCTTTTCTAGGAAATAAAGTACCCTCTCTCCATAAATCAATCTCTCTCCCTATGTCAAAGAAAGACAAGTTATTTGAAATTTGAAAAGCATCCCCAATGGAGTGCTATCTGTTCTGTGTCATCTCCCTATTCCTCTTCCAGATGTTTGGTCCACCTTTAGAACAACTTAATTTCTTTGGAGTGTTGGAAGAAGATAAGGCTCTAATATATGTGACAATTGACCAAAAGCACGAGTCCCCAAATATGAACTAACGAAGGAGGTTAAGAGGAGGTTGTGATTTTGGTGCCCCCATAATTCAATGTACTTCAACCTGGTACCCTGTAACTTACCACATATTACATATACACAGATTACTAGGATCCACCATTGGATGAGTAAACCATAAGGTTGTGCAAGTGAAAAAAAACGTGATTACAGTACCGAATTTTTAGCTCTGAAATTTGGAAAAGAAAATTACTATACATAAAATCACCCTCATGTTTTCTTGAATTTTAGCAGCAACCATCCTTACACATGGCACCTACCAGATAACACTTTTTTCTTCGAACGCCTAGATTTTTCTTTACAAACCATAGCTTCTAGACCTCCATAAGCAGCAGTTTTGAAATACTTGTACCTGCTCTCTCTATTTTAAGCCTGAATGCACCCATATGCCATCCCTATTCTAAYCAAYACAGTCRAAGCCCTATTATATATACTATATCCCAGTTTATATAATTTTTCCTTCTTCGAGAAAGATGAACTTCTCATATAATGGCTCTCTTCAAATGTTTCAGGTCCATGGGCATCAGGGCATCTCATCAAAGAAGGTAAGCAACTAATGGCTATAAATATGGTATAATTTGATTAGAATAATAGCAGAAAATAGAAGGAAAAAAGAGAAGAATATAGGAGAGAAAGAGAAGAAGAAGAAACTACCTACTGAGCTCTATATAGTTCAGTCTATTAAACAAAATGAGCGGAATTTTCAGAGATTTTACCTCTCGAAAGTAGAAACTACCTTTTAAATGAGAAAAGGAATTTAACTTGCCAAATTGCAATACAAAATCTGTTGTATCCTCTAATTTAAGGGATCATGAATCGGCTAGCATAACTCAGAAATGAAAACAAATCAATTAAAAATAAAACTTACCTTGCTGTGGTCTGGTCAGGTTTGCAGCGAAAAAACTGGGGAGTAATGAAAAAATAAAGTGTGAGAGAGAGAAGGAGAGGAAGAAGAATAGGAAATGGGAGAGAAAAAATCAACAGAGACTTACCTTGTTGTCACCGTCACCGGAGTTTCGGTTCTGAATTTCAGATCACTACTTTGAACTCCAGCTGCCGAATGAGGGAGTAATGAGAGAGAGAGAGAGTGAGGGTTAGAAAGTTGGAATCGGGTTGGGAGAGGTTTGAGGGTTTTTTTGTCATTTTGGTTTTTTATGCGAAAGAGCAGGAATGAGATTCCTGATCCGGGGGGTGGGTCAGGAATGGCCATTCCCAAAAATGGGGGATTGCCATTCCACCCGAAATAGGAATCGGATTCCGATTCCGCCCAACCAAACGCCTGGAATTGGAATGGACCATTCCGATTCCGATTCCGATTCTAGACCCCTATTACTGCAAACCAAACGGACCCTCAATATGTTCAATAATTTCAAGATGAAAATTTTTCTTTTAACTTAATTTCACCCCATTGCCCATTATCTCTCATTAAATCTTTTAATTTAAGTTGAGACAGCCAATGGAACTGGGCCCCAAGGCATTCTATATCTGACATTCAATTTGATTCAAGGAACATGACAGATGGCACGAGAATCATTTTGCTTTATCAAATATCCCACTTCAATATGGAATTTAAGCAAAACTCGAAACCAATTTCCAAACAAAAGCATTGCTACTTACCTTTAAAGAAAACAAACTTGAATTCTTCAAATATTTAGCTTTCCACAATGAACCCAAATAGATTGATCCTCAGTGAGAAATCTCCAAGATAATTTCTCCAAGAATGCTAAATTAACAATTTCTGATTTCCTAAATCCTAATCCTCCTCCAGATTTTGGACAGCACAGTTTAAACCAGGAACACCATCTACTCTTGTGGGTACCCTGAGATCCATTAGACCACCAAACTGCCTTTGAACTTTACCAATAATCTGTAAAATCTTTTGAGGCAGTTGCATAACCAACATACAATGGAGAGGAGCTGACTGCAAAACTGATTTGATGGGCACATGTTTACCTGCTTGTGAGATTGAGTTTGCTTTCAGCCTTTCAAGTTTGTTCTTCAGATTATCCAAAATAAACTGCAGAGGCTGAGACCTATTCTTATTAAAATGTAAAGGCAAACCCAAATATTTGTTAGATTTATCTAAAATTTTCATTGAGTCAGCCTCTAATCATTCTTTGACATGGAGGATGTACAGATTTTCTACACATTATGCCAGAATTATCAAAATTAATTCTTTGACTCAACAGAAATTGAAAATCCTCCAAAATTAATTTGAGATTTGCAATCTCATTTCTATGGGTCGGGCTGTCTTTGATATGCCAATCAGTGAGATCCTTAGCAGGGGTCAAAACCTGGGCATGTTGGGGCAGTCTGAGAATTCATCTGAGTGGGTGATCATAGTGACAAGATCAGCCCCTTTGTCGGACAAAGGTAATGATCAGGAATGCACTATCTCTGATGGAAACCAAACTGCCGGCAGTTGATTTCAA